GTGAGGCCTTCCTGTCCTCCACCATCCCCCGGAGTCCACTCAAGCTCACACCAACTGCTTCAGTGCCTCCATCCAGCCACCTCATCCTCTGCCGTCCCCTCCTTCTTTTGCCATCTATTGTTCCCAGCATCAGGCTCTTCTCCAGGGAGTCCTTCCTTCTCATTCGGTGGACAAAGTACTTGAGTTTCATCTTCAGCATCTGGCCTTCTAAGGAGCAGTCAGGGCTGATCTCCTCTAGGACTGACCGGTTTGATCGCCTTGTGGTCCAAGGGACTCGCAGGAGTCTCCTCCAGCACCACAATTCAAAGGCCTAAATTCTTCGGTGCTCAGCCTTCCTTATGGTCCAGCTTTCACAGCCATATGCTGCAACTGGGAAAAACATAGCCTTGACTATATGCACTTTTGTCGGCAGGGTGATGTCTCTGCTTTTTAGTATGCTGTCTAGATTTGCCATAGCTTTCCTCCCAAGGTGCAAGTGTCGCTAGGCTGCAGTCCCCGTCTGCGGTGATCACTACCTCCATTTCTTTCCCATCTATCTGCCAGGAAGTGATAGGACCGGATGCTCATGATCTTAGCCATTTTGGTCCTTTATCATGCCCATCTTTGCATGAAACGTTCCCTTCATATCTCCAATTTTCTTGAAGAGATCTCTGGGCCTCCCTATTCTATTGTTTTCTTCTATTTCTTTGCACTGTTCATTTAAGAAGACATTCTTATCTCTTCGAGCTAGTCTCTGGAATTCTGCATTCAACTGGGTGTATCTTTCTCCCTTGCCTTTCGCTTCCCTTCTTTCCTCAGCTATTTGTAAAGCTTCCTCAGACAGCCATTTTGTTTTCTTGCATTTCTTTTTCTTTAGGATGGTTTAAGTTGCTTCCTCTTGTACAATGTTGTAAACTTCCGTCCATAGTTCTTCAGGCACTCTGTCTATCAGATCTAATTCCTTAAATCTATTTGTCACCTCTACTGTATATTCATCATGAATATGATTTAGGCCATACCTGAGTGGCCTAGTGCTTTTCCCTACTTTCTTCAATTTAAGCCTAAATTTTGCAACAAGAAGCTCATGATCTGAGCCACAGTCAGCTCCTGGTCTAGTTTTTACTGAGTGTACGGAGCTTCTCCATCTTTGGCTGCAGAGCACATAGTCAATCTGATTTCTGTGTTGACCGTCTGGTGATGTCCATGTGTAGAGTCGTCTCTTGGGTTGTTGGAAAAGAGTGTTTGTGATACACTCGCTCAAACCAAGGGGTGACAGTGGAGGTCCCATGGACAGAAGAGCGTTCTGTAACGCGGTAGGCAGGGGGAGGGGAGATACGCTTGGCACAGATTGTGGCTTGGACCTGTACAAGTCTTGAGGCTCCAGGCTGCTGTGTCCAAGGTCCATGTACTTGCCTGTGGCAGGGACAGGTTTTCACAACTCCGTGTGTGCCCCCGAGCGGACTGAAGTTTGGGGGTTTTCCTGCAAGCATCGCTGGCACCCAAGAGGATGGGAGCTCAGAGCCAAGCGGCGGATCCACGCACCCTGCGCTTCACTGGGCCACTAGCCGGCGCGTTCCGCAAAGGGGGTCCAGCCCGGGGGGGCAGCGGCGGGGCTGCCTCGGCGACGGCCCCGAGATGCCGCGGCCCGGGCCCGTCCCGCCTCGCCTCCCCCGCCCGCGCGCGCGGCCCCGGCAGGCCAGAGGCGGCGGCCGGCCCCGCGCG